TGTCTTGCATTTTCATGGAAGCTGATTTATATGGAAGACACAAGGCTGGGTGGGTTGGAGCGCTGATTTCTATGGAAGACACGAGGCTGGGTGGGTTGGAGCGCTGATTTCTATGGAAGCGATGGTGGCTGGGTGGGTTGAAGCGCTGATTTTTATAGAAGGCACGGTGACTGGGTGGGTTGGAGCGCTGATTTCTAAAGAAGCCAAGATGGCTGGGTGGGTTGAAGCTCTGATTTTATAGAAGGCACGGTGGCTGGGTGGGTTGAAACGCTGAGTTTTATGGAAGACACGGTGACTGGGTGGGTTGAAGCGCTGATTTTTATGGAAGACACGGTGACTGGGTGGGTTGAGCGCTGATTTTTATGGAAGACACGGTGACTGGGTGGGTTGAGCGCTGATTTTTATGGAAGCCACGGTGACTGGGTGGGTTGAGCGCTGATTTTTATGGAAGACACGGTGACTGGGTGGGGCTGGGTTGAACGCTGATTTTTATGGAAGACACGGTGGCTGGGTGGGTTGAGCGCTGATTTATATGGAAGCCACGGTGGCTGGGTGGGTTGAAGCACTGATTTTTATGGAAGACACAGTGACTGGGTGGGTTGAAGCGCTGATTTTTATGGAAGACACGGTGACTGGGTGGGTTGAAGGGCTGATTTTTATAGATGACACGATGGGTGGGTGGGTTGAGCGCTGATTTTTATGGAACCCACAGTGACTGGGTGGGTTGAAGGGCTGATTTCTATGGAAGACACGGTGACTGGGTGGGTTGAAGCGCTGATTTCTATGGAAGACACGATGGCTAGTTGGGTTGAAGCGCTGATTTTTATGGAAGACACGGTGACTGGGAGGGTTGAAGCGCTGATTTTTATGGAAGACCGGTGGCTGGGTGGGTTGAGCGCTGATTTTTATGGAAGACACGGTGACTGGGTGGGTTGAAGGGCTGATTTTTATGGATGACACGGTGGCTGGGTGGGTTGAGCGCTGATTTTTATGGAAGACACGGTGACTGGGTGGGTTGAAGGGCTGATTTTTATGGAAGACACGGTGACTGGGTGGGTTGAAGGGCTGATTTCTATGGAAGACACGATGGCTAGGTGGGTTGAAGCACTGATTTTTATGGAAGACACGGTGACTGGGTGGGTTGAAGCGCTGATTTTTATGTAAGACACGGTGGCTGGGTGGGTTGAAGCGCTGATTTTTATGGAAGCCACGGTGACTGGGTGGGTTGAAGCGCTGAGTTTTATGGAGGACACGGTGACTGGGTGGGTTGAGCGCTGATATTTATGGAAGCCACGGTGACTGGGTGGGTTCAAGCGCTGATTTGTATGGAATCCATTAACCATTAACCCGGATGGCACATGTCATCGTATTCCAATTGCGAGGATCGATACTCTTGTTATCTCCGCATTGTCTGGACCAGACACGATTATCTACAGACAGCCACCACATACCTTGAATATATTGCTGAGTGGGGCGTTATACTGTAACAAACACGTGACTATTTCGGTTGCACTGCATCATTTACCAGGATATAATGCATCACACACCTGGGTGCAATGCAGTATACACCTGTACACCGCATCATGCACCAGGATATAACGCATCACACACCTGGGTGCAATGCAGCATACACCTGTACACCGCATCATACATCAAGACATAACGCATCACACACCTGGGTCCAATGCAGCATACACCTGTACACCGCATCATGCACCTGTACATCGCATCATACACCAGGATATAACACATCACACACCTGGGTGCAATGCAGCATACACCTGTACATCGCATCATACACCAGGATATAACACATCACACACCTGGGCGCAATGCAGCATACACCTGTACATCGCATCATACACCTGTACATCGCATCATACACCAGGATATAACACATCACACACCTGGGTGCGATGCAGCATACACGTGTACATCGCATCATACACCTGTACATCGCATCATACACCAGGATATAACACATCACACACCTGGGTGCAATGCAGCATACACCTGTACATCGCATCATACACCTGTACACCGCATCATACACCAGGATATAACACATCACACACCTGGGTGCAATGCAGCATACACCTGTACATCGCATCATACACCTGTACATCGCATCATACACCAGGATATAACACATCACACACCTGGGTGCGATGCAGCATACACGTGTACATCGCATCATACACCTGTACATCGCATCATGCACCAGGATATAACGCATCACACACCTGGGTGCAATGCAGCATACACATGTACATCGCATCATACACCTGTACATCGCATCATACACGTGTACATCGCATCATACACCAGGATATAACACATCACACCCTGGGTGCAATGCAGCATACACCTCTACATCGCATCATACACCTGTACATCGAATCATGCACCAGGATATAACGTATCACACACCTGGGTGCAATGCAGCATACACCTGTACATCGCATCATACACCTGTACATCGCATCATACACCTGTACATCGCATCATACACCTGTACATCGCATCATACACCAGGATATAACACATCACACACCTGGGTGCAATGCAGCATACACCTGTACATCGCATCATACACCTGTACATCGCATCATACACCAGGATATAACGTATCACACACCTGGGTGCAATGCAGCATACACCTGTACATCGCATCATACACCTGTACATCGCATCATACACCAGGATTTAACACATCACACACCTGGGTGCAATGCAGCATACACCTGTACATCGCATCATACACCTGTACATCGCATCATGCACCAGGATATAACGCATCACACACCTGGGTGCAATGCAGCATACACCTGTACACCGCAGTTTATACCTGCTGCACCGAATCACACACCTGAGTGTAATGCGTCACACATCTGGCGTACTGCATCATACACCCGTACACTGCACCATGCACCTGCACACCGCAGTGTACACCTGTGGACTGCTTCATGCACTAGCATTATGCACCTGTAAACTGCATCATGCACCTGTACACATCAGTCTACACCTGATGTCCTGAACCACACCCCTGCGTGTACTGCGTCACACACCTGGGTTAAGTGCACCGTTCACGTGGATGCACTAAATACACGTGGATGCACCAAATATACGGGGGTGCACTGCATCAAATACCTGCGTGAAAAGCATGATTCCCATGGTGAGCTGGAGGCAGCAGGTGACAATATATGTTACTGACGGGTCAACGCTTTCAAAATACGCCCTTCTCTCGTGAATGACTGAAGCCTCGGTGATAGCTGTACGAGGCACTCAATAAATATTTGACAAGTGTTTCGTTGCGCGTTTGCCCTATTTCTTTCGTGTTTTTTTGCCCCGAAAGCTCTGACAAATCAAGTGTACACTTACGGTAACAGTAGGACAAGGGTCGGACGCCGCCGGGTGTGGCAATTTCACTGGACGACCAACCCTCCGCGGACGTGATCACACAAACCTCGTCAGCTATTGCTGGAAACGCTGGTACGTATGTTCTTTAAAGAGCTAAACAGATAGCATTTATGCTGAAACACATTTTACAGTGCGTGAGTAACCCTTGTAATATACAGCTCAACATGTGAAAAGGATGGGGATAAATCTGTCTGGTTGTTGGGAGCTAACGAGGATAACATAGTTTATGGTGACCTCAGATAAGATGAGTTGAAATCTCTTGGTTACCCAGAATGATATAGTGCTATTATGAAAACAAACCAAATGAACCCATGAGCAAACAAGTAATATTACCCATAGCACCGACTTACCTAATTGCTCAAGCTTAGACGATCCGCTATTATACAACCTTGATTGTATGATTTTTGTATAAAATGACTGTAACTAGAACTGTCACCTGTCACTGTGTACGATTTTTGTATAAAGTGACTGTACCTATTGATGTGAATAATGTGAAAAAAAAAAGATGAGTTGAAATGGGGGATGGATGTCGGGTAGGTCATTTAGCGAAAATGGTGACGCGCGCGCGCGCGTGCGTGTGTATGTGCGTTGGTAAGTGCTTGAGTGTCTGCTTGTGCTAGTCGTGACAAATCGTGGTTTAACAGAGATGGCCGACTATGGTACCATGCTGCATTTTAACATGGTTACTCCGTACAGTATTCTGTCTCAGAAGCGATCATCTACTTCATGCCGAGACCGGGGCCGGTGGGGTAGCCTAGTGGTTATGGTAGGTTATGGTTATGGCGGAAAACCCGGGTTCGATTCCCTATATGGTTACAATATGTGAAGCCCATTTCTGGTGTCCCCCGCCGTGATATGGCTGGAATATTGCTAAAAGCTGCGTAAAACCATATTCACTCACAGAAGTAACACATTTGTAAGGCTACCGATTGTATTCTTAAATTGTGTAGTTCGTGTTGTGAATTCCATTCCTATATTTCACGATATTACACGTCATCGTATCCCATTTGCGTAGACCTATGTTCATTCAGTCTGGCCTGATTCATACGCCATTACACACCAGGGGAGGATTCAGCTTTTCGAGTTTTAGTGGTCATTTTATAACCCATCAGGACAACAACAACAAAAAAGGGGGGGGGGCCGCTGACCCCCCCCTCCTTTTACATCCCCCTTCCCTTCCCCTGGATCCGCCTATGCACACATCATATTGCTTGAATATTGATGAGTGTGGAGGTAAACAAAAGACAAACAAACAAACACCAGACGAGACCATCAGGACTGACCAAGCTTGACCACAATGCTGTCTTGTCACCTCAATTTGTCCTTCCTTGTACAGGGATACCCTACAGAAATTAAGTACATGCAAATTTCATTAATATGTTTCTGTTTGTTTGCTACGCGAACGGTGGACTTCGGACAAACATTCCATGACAAAAGCCCACTTGACATTCAGCATAAAGAATGATGACTGTTTTGTGTGTGTTGGGTGCCCTGTGCACCGTGTCGTGACAGTGTTCCAGGGCTGTCAGTTTTATGTTCTGGCATTGTCCAAATAACTATCGCAATTGTAACTCTTTCAGACATGACCTGAAGCAGCCCGGATATGACATCACGGCAGTCACGTGACATAGATGGCGGCTGGGCCTGGGTGGTGCTGCTGGCAGCCTACGTGAACCTCCTGATAGGCCCAGGTCTAGCGTACGTGGGAGGCATCTTCCAGGCGGTGTTCCTGGAACAGTTTCAGGAGAGCGTCGCGCTGACGTCATGGGTGACGTCACTGTTTGCGTCACTCTTGCAACTGGCAGGTACGATCCATCACAACGGCATACTTTCATAGCTGGTAAGAATGGCCGTGAAGTAATGGTGGATATATTCAGGATGTATTAATATATTGAGACTATTGATTCCACTCATATACTGATTGCATCATTTTGTGAAGTTATTAACATTTGTGACGTGGAAGTGAGTGCCGTACAACTCAGTGCAATGTGATGAGTCCCCAGAAACATATTATATTCTAGGGGCCTACAAATTGGGCTGATTGGCCAAGTTCGATATATCACATTGCCATTCGTCAGTTGTCTCCAGTTTCATCATAGGTCAGTTTTCGCCATAAGTCCATGTGTTCAGTTTTCCTCACAATGACCAATGTTCAGTGTTATATCCCAGGTCAGTTTTCCTCACATAGTCTAGTGTTCAGTTATACATCACATCTTATTGTCTTTCAGGTCCAGTGTTATATCACATCTTATTGTCTTTCAGGTCCAGTGTTATATCACATTTAATTGTCTTCCAGGTCCAGTGTTATATCACATCTTATTGTCTTTCAGGTCCAGTGTAATATCACATTTCATTGTCTTCCAGGTCCAGTGTTATATCACATCTGATTGTCTTCCAGGCCCAAGGTTATATCACATCCCATTGTCTTCCAGGTCCAGTGTTCAGTGTTATATCACATCCCATTGTCTTCCAGGTCCAGTGTTATATCACATGTCATTGTCTTCCAGGTCCAGTGTTCAGTGTTATATCACATTTCATTATCTTCCAAGTCCAGTGTTCCGTGTTATATCACATCTCATTATCTTCCAGGTCCAGTGTTCAGTGTTATATCACATGTCATTGTCTTCCAGGTCCAGTGTTCAGTGTTATCTCACATCTCATTATCTTCCAGGTCCAGTGTTCCGTGTTATATCACATCTCATTGTCTTCCAGGTCCAGTGTTCAGTGTTATATCACATCTCATTGTCTTCCAGGTCCAGTGTTATATCACATCTCTTTGTCTTCCAGGTCCAGTGTTCAGTGTTATATCACATCTCATTGTCTTTCAGGTCCTGTGTTCAGTGTTATATCTCATCTCATTGTCTTCCAGGTCCAGTGTTATATCACATCTCATTGTCTTCCAGGTCCAGTGTTCCGTGTTATATCACATCTCATTGTCTTTCAGGTCATATGTTCAGTGTTATATCTCATCTTATTGTCTTCCAGGTCCAGTGTTATATCACATGTCATTGTCTTTCAGGACCAGTGTGATGCCTCATCTCATTGTCTTCCAGGCCCAGTGTTATATCACATGTCATTGTCTTCAAGATCCAGTGTGATACCACATCTCATTGTCTTCCAGGCCCAGTGTTATATCACATCTAATTGTCTTCAAGATCCAGTGTGATACCACATCTCATTGTCTTCCAGGCCCAGTGTTATATCACATCTAATTGTCTTCCAGGTCCAGTGTTATATCACATGTCATTGTCTTCCAGGACCAGTGTGATACCACATCTCATTGTCTTCCAGGTCCTGTGTTATATCACATCTGATTGTCTCCCAGGTCCTGTGTTGTGTCACATCTTATTGTCTTTCAGGTCATGTGTTCAGTGTTATATCTCATCTTATTGTCTTCCAGGTCCAGTGTTATATCACATGTCATTGTCTTCCAGGACCAGTGTGATACCACATCTCATTGTCTTCCAGGTCCTGTGTTATATCACATCTCATTGTCCTCCAGGTCCTGTGTTATATCACATCTGATTGTCTTCCAGGTCCTGTGTTGTATCACATCTTATTGTCTTGCAGGTCCTGTGTTCAGTGTTATATCTCATCTTATTGTCTTCCAGGTCCAGTGTTATACCACATGTCATTCTCTTCCAGGCCCAGTTTCAAACGTTATACCACATCTTATTGTCTTCCAGGTGCAGTGTTATATCTCATCTCATTGTCTTCCAGGCCCAGTTTCAAATGTTATATCACATGTTATTGTCTTACAGGCCCTGTTTCAAATGTTATATAACATCTCATTGTCTTCCAGGTCCAGTGTTATATCACATTCCATTGTCTTCCAGGCCCAGGGTTATACTACATCTCGTTGTCTTCCAGGCCAAGTGTTATATTACCTCTTATTGTCTTCAGGGTCCAGTGTTATATAACATCTCATTGTATTCCATGTTCAGTGTTATATCACATCTCATTTGTCTTCCAGGTCCAGTGTTATACCACATCGCATTGTCTTCCAGGTCCTTTGTTATATCACATCGCATTGTCTTCCAGATCCAGTGTTATATCACATTCCATTGTCTTCCAGGTCCAGTGTTATATTACATCTTATTGTCTTCCAGTTCCAGTGTTAAATCACATCTCATTGTCTTCCAGGTCTAGTGTTATATCGGCTGTGAATATTCAATATTCATAAGTTATTATACCATCTTGCCTTTTGAATCACAATCTCCAGCTGATTTTTCGCTTTCATGAATCTTAAGATGGGTCGAGTGACCTAGTGCATGAGAGGTCCAGTGGCCAAGTACATGGGAGGTCCAGTGACCTAGTGCATGAGAGGTCCAGTGACCTAGTGCATGGGAGGTCCAGTGACCTAGTACATGGGAGGTCCAGTGACCTAGTACATGGGAGGTCCAGTGACCTAGTGCATAGGAGGTCTAGTGACCTAGTACATGGGAGGTCCAGTGACCTAGTGCATGGGAGGTCCAGTGACCTAGTACATGGGAGGTCCAGTGACCTAGTGCATGGGAGGTCTAGTGACCTAGTGCATGGGAGGTCCAGTGACCTAGTGCATGGGAGGTCCAGTGACCTAGTACATGGGAGGTCCAGTGACCTAGTACATGGGAGGTCCAGTGACCTAGTGCATAGGAGGTCTAGTGACCTAGTACATGGGAGGTCCAGTGACCTAGTGCATGGGAGGTCCAGTGACCTAGTACATGGGAGGTCCAGTGACCTAGTGCATGGGAGGTCTAGTGACCTAGTGCATGGGAGGTCTAGTGACCTAGTGCATGGGAGGTCCAGTGACCTAGTACATGGGAGGTCCAGTGACCTAGTGCATGGGAGGTCCAGTGACCTAGTGCATGGGAGGTCTAGTGACCTAGTGCATGGGAGGTCCAGTGACCTAGTGCATGGGAGGTCCAGTGACTTAGTGCATGGGAGGTCCAGTGACCTAGTACATGGGAGGTCCAGTGACCTAGTGCAGGGGAGGTCCAGTGACCTAGTACATGGGAGGTCCAGTGACCTAGTACATGGGAGGTCCAGTGACCTAGTGCATGGGAGGTCTAGTGACCTAGTGCATGGGAGGTCCAGTGACCTAGTGCATGGGAGGTCCAGTGACCTAGTGCATGGGAGGTCCAGTGACTTAGTGCATGGGAGGTCCAGTGACCTAGTACATGAGAGGTCCAGTGACCAAAATTCAACCTGAATACAACTTTGCTGTTTAGGAATCATGGTGTAAGTTTCACCTGACCAATATTTACCTTGACGGGCGGGCAGTAATGGATGATGCACGTGCATTCCACCCTCTTATAGCACACCCGTCACATCACTTACTGCACGGACTCAAGTTCATCTGTACTGAATACTCTCGAACCCAAATACACAACCACGTATTAGTTAATATGTTTATTTTCTAACTTCGTAAACTCAACCGAACATAAAACATTTACAAATAATCACGCAACTCTGTATTTGGGGACGTTCACGTCAGCCTCAAGAACTAAGAGAGCGGGCAAATGAAAGGATAATATAAATCTTTTTAATCAATCATTTACAACTGGCAACAGGAGATCACAACATTCAAATTCCCAATTTTTTCTACACACTGAGTCTTGCTAATAGGCTATCCTTCACATAAGAGTCTTTTGCAGTCTCTGACCGCCACCGACCGTGACGCCTAAATAGCCTGTCCGGCACTCCAGCATTGGCCGCCTCGGTCGTCTCTCCCGAACTGAAGCTGTGCACCCCAAAATCTTGTCTCTTTAGACCAACAGTCTCCAACACACTCCAACGTACTCAGAATTATCTCTCGCATACGTGTATAAGAGACTGGCTTGCTGCCTCTTAACTTATAAGTCTTTGAGTGTTTCTACAATAATTAACTGGTTTAAAGATATATTCATCACAGTAATGTTTAAATGCTTGTTCTAGGTATGACTTCATAATACTAACTCAACTGCGCAGATCGATGCTCATGCTGTTGATCACTGGATTGTCTGGTCCAGACTTGATTATTTACAGACCGCCGCCATATAGCTGGAATATTGCTGAGTGCGGTGTAAAACTAAACTCACTCACTCACTCATAAAACTAACTGGGCACATTTCTGATTGGGTTGCATCAACAACCAAGTGATGACCATCTCGATATTTATCAATTTTGCTTTTCTCTATAAAGATAACATGTGACCTTCCCGGAAGATTATGTCAGAATATCTTAAACTTGGTGCTCCCGAAAACCTGAGGAAGCCAGCAAAAGAAACTATACAAAATGTTAAATTTCTCATGTTATATAAGCTGTCAACAGGAAACCTATCTTTTAACATTTTAGTAGAATATCTCCTGTTATAGGCTCTTTTCGCTTGATTTGTACACCGAGAGTTCTCCATGTTTGTAGATACAGCCGAGACACGCAACAGCTGTCCTGCCCCGTCAGTCGTGAATCTCAAGTGCCTGATGCACGTGCATTCCACCCTTTTAAAGCACACCCGTCACATCACTTACTGCACGGACTCAAGTTCATCTGTACTTATACTCTCAAACCCAAATACACAACCACGTATTAGTAAATATATACCTCATTGCCTTCCAGGTCCAGTGTTATATAACATGTTATTGTCTCCCAGGTCCAGTGTTATATCACATCTCATTGTCTTCCAGGTCCAGTGTTATATCACATCTTATTGTCTCCCAGGTCCAGTGTTATATCACATCTTATTGTCTTCCAGGTCCAGTGTTACATCACATCTCATTGTCTTCCAGGTCCAGTGGTATATCACATCTCTTTGTCTTCCATGTCCAGTGTTATATCACATCTCATTGTCTTCTATGTCCAGTGTTAATATCACATCTCATTGTCTTCCCATAGGTACAATGTGTGAAGCCAATTTCTGGTGTTCCCTGCCGTGATCTCGCTGGAATATTGCTAAAAGCGGCGTAAAACCAAACTAAGTCAGTCAGTCATTGTCTTCCATGTCCAGTGTTATATCACATCTTATTGTCTCCCAGGATCTAGTGTTATATCACATCTCATTGTTTTGTCGGTCCAGTGTTATATCACATCTCATTGTCTTCAAGGCCTAGTGTTATATCACATCTCATTGTCTTCCAGGTCCAGTGTTATATCACATCTTATTGTCTCCCAGGTCCAGTGTTATATCACATCTCATTGTCTTGCAGGTCCAGTGTTATATCACATCTCATTGTCTTCCAGGTCCAGTGTTGTATCAGATCTTATTGTCTCCCAGGTCCAGTGTTATACCACATGTCATTGTCTTCCAGGCCTAATGTTATATCACATCTAATTGTCTCCCAGGTCCAGTGTTATATCACATCTCATTGTCTTCCAGGTCCAGTGTTATATCACATCTCATTGTCTCCCAGGTCCAGTGTTATATCACATCTCATTGTCTCCCAGGTCCAGTGTTATATCACATCTCATTGTCTCCCAGGCCCAGTGTTATATCACATCTCATTGTCTCCCAGGTCCAGTGTTATACCACATCTCATTGTCTTCCAGGTCCAGTGTTATATCAGATCTTATTGTCTCCCAGGTCCAGTGTTATATCACATCTCATTGTCTTGCAGGTCCACTTTCAAGCGTTTTATCATCACAAGTCAGCTGCCGTGCGTCCGTCATCACAGGGGCGACGTTGCTAGCAGCTGGCCTCGCGATCAGCAGCTTCGTCAACAGTCTACTCCTCCTTCTTATTTTCATGGGTATTGTCTCAGGTGAGAATGCTTGGGGTTGTCTCGGGTGAGAGTGCAAGGGACTGTCACAGATAAGTGCAGGCTATTGTGAGAGATCAGACCATCGTCTCAGGAGAGGCTGCAAAGCATTGTCTTTGGAGAGAATGTGGGAAATTGGTTCAGGTGAGACTGTAGAATATGTCTCAGGTGACAGTACAGCGTATTGTAGAGAGTACTGAGTATTGTATCAGGCGACACTGTGGAGTATTTGTTCAGGTGAAAGTGCAGTCTTCTAGTCTTGTAATATCCAACTTTTCTGTAGAAAATATATAGCCCCACAAGCTCTAAATATAACTCAGACTGACCCGCCTGTAGGCTCTTCAAATGTGTACCTAACCGGGCCGTCTCTATTATCGAATGGGCACACATTATAACAGCATATGTTAATCTTTGAAAGCAGGTTCCTTTAGCACTAACCTTGACTTGAGATAATTAGCTGTGAAAAAGTGACCGATCATTTGACGTTCTCGTGTTACTCTGTGTGTTTTCAGGATTGACAAAATTGTTTCCAATATGACTAGAAAAAAACTAAGACTGACTCGTCCTCGATTTTCACACTAAATATTAAATGGCTGAAAAATTCTGCAATTCCGTTTATACGCTTTCGTTTTACTGCAGGTATCAATCATGACAGGAAATCATCCGATGGCCCTGAAGTTCTTTTTATTAGTATTCTTGTTTCTCATAATCATGATAATAATTTTTCACGCCGTTTGAAATAGAGATCGGGTGCTTGATGTTGTGGGTGATTTCTAAATATCCTATATTCTTCTACACAGGTATAGGTCTTGGACTCACCTACTCTGCCTCCATAGTTGTCGTCAATCTGTTTTTCGTGAAACGGCGGACATTCGTCACGGGACTTGCTCTGTCTGCAACAGGTGCCGGGATACTCATACTTCCGCTCGTGTGTCGCCACCTGCTGGACGCTTTGTCATGGCGGGAAACTCTGGCGATCCTTGCAGGGTTGTCTTTACAGATGGCGGTGTGCGGAGCTGTAATGTTTCCGGTTCATGAACACAACGACAAAGGCTTCTGCTTCAAGCTGTTTAGGAAACGTGATAAACGTTTGCCAGATGCCGACTCAGAGAAGGGGAAAATGTTTACACAGAATGATTCACCTCAAACAGAAAGGGCTGCAACTTGTGAAGACCAACACTTGACCGCCAAAGACCAACATTTGGCTGTCAAAGACTTAGTCAATTCAACCATCAGTATTTCAGGATCTGTAAAATTTGAAATGTCAAAGATCAAAATCCATGAACCAAAACCACTTTACGCTAATATAGGCTTCTTGATTTTGTGTTTCTCTCTTTTTCTCAATAATTCTAGCATAGGTATATTTCTCATTCATTTCCCGAGCTTCGCTAAAACGTTTGGGGTCACCGAATCGGAAGTGGCCTTCGCCATGGCGATGAACGGTCCAGCACTAACAATTTCGAGAGTTCTGATTGGTGCAATGGGGAATGATAGTAAAACGGACCCTCTCTCAATCTTCGTTGGTCTGATACTGACATCGGCTCTTATTTTAATGTTGACGCCTGTGTTAGCTACCACGTCTACTACACAGACACTGGTCATGGTGTTGATGGGGTTATATTGCGGGGGTTCATACGCTTTTCTGACAGTTCTAACCATTGAGTGTGTTGGTCTTGACAAACTTGCTGCTGCCTTTGGCTGGGAAATGATTGCTGCCGGAACTGGTTACCTGGTAGCGCCACCTATTGCCGGTAAGTATGTTTGGCCAGTCGTTTACTATAGTGTTTGGCAGTGGGGTAGCCTAGTGGTTAAAGCGTTTGCTCTTCACATAAAAGGCCCGGGTTCAATTTCATTCATGTGCTGAATGTGTAAAGCCCATTTTGGTGTCTCCCGACGTGACTTTCCTGAAATATTGCTTAAAGCGGCGGAAGGCCTGACCCACTCACTCACTTTAATAGAGTGCAACCCTACGCCGTACTCAGCAATATCCCAGCTACAGTAGTTGGCCATAAGTGAGTCATCATTAGTGAGATTTCCAGAGACTTACATGTTAATTAACTGCTACAAGAATAATTTTCATAAATTTAGTAGAAGTCATTTTTTGATAGTTTGCAAACATCTTGGAAATCATCTTCAGCTTTCGTTGATTAGTTATCGAATGACGCCTGATTAAGGTACCATAAGTACAACTTAACTTTAATTTATCCCATAGACAGCCATGTTAAACCTGATTAAATATGTCTAATATATGTTGTTTAAATAGTTGCAGTTTTCTTAATAATCATCGGAAAATTGAATGGAAATTATTGTATGTAGCTGACATGATTTCCCAGCTGGTAGATTAGTATTGAAAGCACTTCGACCGAAACAAAATTTATGAAAATTATTCTTGCAAGAGTTAACTAACATGCAAGTTTATGGGACTTTCACTAATGATGACTCGCTTATGGCCAACTACTGCATATGGCGGCTGTCTGGACCAGGCAATCCAGTGATCAGCAGCATGAGCATCGATCTACAAAATTGGGATACGTTGACATGTGCCACCACGTCAGCGGGCCTGACCACCTGATTCCCTTAGTCGCCTCTTGCGACTAAATCTAACCGGACCTTCACGGGTCGGGATCTCTGTACGTCTACGAGTAATTAATAAAAATATGTGGTGTGGGGTGCTACCGGTTGTGCAGGACATGCTTACTCATTTCGTGAACACCTGGTGTCAACACTGCTTTGTTCACATGATGATTCACATGTTCCACGCAACCTCCAATAACAATCTGACGAAAGGGGCCGACCGGGTGGCCTAACTGTTAAAGCGTCCGCTCTTCAGGCTGAGGACCCGGGGATCGATTCCCTTCAGTGCTACAACGTGTGAAGACCATTTCTGGTGTTCACTGCCGTGATATTGCTAGAATATTGCTAAAAGCGGCGTAAAACCATACTCACTCACTCTTACAGAAGAGGAAAAGAAGTCTTATAAAGAAAGGAAATTAGCATCTTTTTACAATAGTTTACTGAAATGGTAGCATAATGTCTAAATGCTGTATCTAATGGTTAAGTGAGTGAGTGAGTGAGTTTAGTTTTACGCAGCACTCAGCAATATTCCAGCTATATGGCGGCGGTCTGTAAATAATCGAGTCTGGACCAGACAATCCAGTGATCAATAGCATGAGCATCGATCTGCACAATTGGGAACCGATGACATGTATCAGCCTGACCAGCCGATCCCGTTAGTCGCCTTTTACGACAAGCATAGTCGCCTTTTATGACAAGAATGGGTTGCTGAAGACCTATTCTATCCCGGATCTTCACGGGTCTCTAATGGTTAAGTATTCAAAGCCCTAATTTGATGCCCGACACTGATACTGATACCAAAATATTTCTAATTTTGCTTTTAGGATGGATTGTCGATTCTACTGGTTCGTATGCCAACAGTATATATCTATCAGGTAATTAGAAACCAAATATATATCATAACTATCCCTACACTTGCACTAAAGCTGGAAACCAGGATCCATGAGTTCGAATCCAAGATTCTGATCCACTGGTATCTATACTTAAACATATTGATGCCCATTCCAGATTGCACATAGAGACTGTCGTTTTTAAAGCTATACTTAGCCATGGCTGTGTTTAAGACCTTGAGAAATGTTAATTTCAGAGAAAAGTCTCAGCACATTATCTAGTTTTCTTTGTTTCGCTGTGTGTAGAAATCCTGGTTTAAAAGTTCAAGCCTAAAGAGATACAGAAAGAGATCTAGTCCTTGTCTTATCCCCTATCTGTATGGTGTCATACATCTTTTGACATATTTTGGTAAGATGCGGTTGGGAATCTAAGCACCCAGATCTAGTCCTTGTCTTATCCCCTATCTGTATGGTGTCATACATCTTTTGACATATTTTGGTAAGATGCGGTTTGGAATCTAAGCACCCACATTTCGCTGTTAACTTTACTAACGGTCGACTCTTATCATGTAATGTGACGTGAGTCGTTCCACAAACAATCAACTGTACAGCTTATGGTTAATGCTCAGAGCTACACGCTGCCAATGTCCACGTTTCAGGAGTGCTGTTGTTTGTGGCGGTGTTGGTGATTATGATGATACCTGTCTGCGGTGGACGTCGTCATCAACACTCTCCCCACCACCCTGATGACACGACGCTTGAGGTTGACCAAGAAGACAGCCCGACGTGATCGGGAACGCTTGTTTTAACCATATACCCAATTTGGAACAAACATTGTTTTTAGAGAAGTATATTTGTCTTGTTATGATTTCGACAACTATGCCCCGGAAAGTAACAGAGGAAAATCACTTCGATCACCTCTGGCTTGAATACACATTGGTATGAAATTCCAAAAGACAATAATATGAGTATCACGTGGCTGTCACATGACCTGACTAGATCATAATGTCATAAATGGATCTATATCCGTTTGCCGTCATGTTCAAGTCATGCATATTTCTATTAACTACCTGTCTTCACGAGCTGTCGCGTGGCAAGATCTATACATCCTGCAGGGTCTGGCGTTAAAGCAATATTACTCAGGTATGAGTGAGTGAATTAGTTTAGTTTTACGCCACACTCAGCAATATTCCAGCTATATGGCGGCGGTCTGTAGAGTCTAATAATAGAGTCTGGACCAGACAAACGAGTGATCAACAGCATGAGCATCGATCTGCGGAATTGGGAATCGATGACATGTGTCAACCAAGTCAGCGAGCCTGACCACCCGATCCCGTTAGTCGCCTCTTACGACAAGCATAGTCGCCTTTTGTGGCAAGCTGGGTTGCTGAAGACCTATTCTACCCCGGATCTTCACGGGCCCTTAGGTATGACGAGTGCGACGAGTTTACGCCACGAGTGAGTTTAGTTTTACCCCGCTTTTAGCAATATTCCAGCAATATCACGGCGGGGGACACCAGAAATGGACTTCACACATTGTACCCATATGGGGAACCGAACCCGAGTCTTCGGCGTGACAAGTGAAACCTTCAACTACTAGGCTAGCCAGCCAACCATTTACGCCAAGAAGGTAAAGGTATAATTGTAGTTGACCTGAGTGATTGTGTGTTGGCTAGTTCATCCGACATAGTTGCCAGTTAAAATCTGGACACAACTGATTTGTGAGGTTCGTTTTCAGAACATACTTGTGCCCCTCATAGATTCATTCACAGGGGTTCGAATCAATGTTTGGACAATATTTTATTTTTTTTTAAATATAAATCTAGACTTTTGCAATGATATTTTCCTTTATATGCTATCATTAATATACTTTTCAGATGTGAACCAAATCGGTGAAGAAATAAAGATTTTAGAAAATTATACAGCTACACTATTATATAGTATACCCAAGGGCTGACACTTCCGATGCTAAAAACCTGATCGAGAACCGGGCAGCCCGACTCTTTTAACGTGCGGTGCTTACGTTTTTCACAAAAACGTGTGTTGAGCTTGCAGGCCATTCTTTGACCTATCTGCTCATCGTGTGCAATTTGTCCAACTGCATTTCACATGTGACCACTGACCCTTAACGTTCGTTGGTTCGAATAACACATTCGCTGAAAGGTAGATGTGTGTGTCGCATTCGCGACAGAAACAAAGAATTAAATATAGTTTATATGCCATACTGGAATTATTTGAGACATAGTAACCCATACTTGTCGTAAGAGACGACTTATACGGGATCGGATGATCAGGTTCACTGGCTTGTCATCGGTTCCCAATTCCGTCGATCGATGATCATGCTGCTGATCACTGGCTTGTCTGGTCCAGACTCGATAATCTGAAGACAGCCGCAATATAGCTGGAATATTGCTGCGTGCGGCGTAAAATAACACACCAACTAACCAACCAATGTTTGAGACATACCGACAAACATACGCTACCTAGATTGTTCAGTTGAGAGGATGGTACGCTTTAGCATCCGGGCTCAAAACACAAATCAATGTAATATACTCATGCCAATAACGGTTGTCACCCCTCCCCCACCCAACCCTCTCAATAAAAAATTGTTTAGGGGTGACAACCATTATTGGCATGAGTATATATACCAGTCAGCTGTATGGCCTCGTTCTGTAAATAATCGAATCTGGACCAGACAATCCAGTGATCAACAATATGGCCATCGATCTACGCAATTGGGAACCGATGACATGTGTCCACCAAGTCAGCGAGCCTGACCACCCGATCCCGTTAGTCGCCTTTTACAAGCATGGGTTACTGAAGATTAATTTTAACCCGGATCTTTACAGGTGATAGAGACATAAAAACGATCAAAACGAACTGATCAAGATGGTCACCGGCTGGTCAGTCTGTGTGACTTGACGGTTTGGCATCACTGTGTTTCGATGGCAGAACAGAACAGAATTTTTATTACGCTCAGGCCGGGATACTCGGCATATAAGGTACAAATATACAGTTGAGAATACATGGGATGGCGGGATGGTTTACATGGAAGATTGTACAGTTTTCATGTTGGTATTACAAAATATGCACATTTGTTTTTAAAACACTAATTCGTTTACAGTTAAACAATTCATTAAATCTTACCACATTGTTTTTTTAACATAATGGTTTGGGATATATGTTTTCCGATGATGTTTGAAGAAAGGGCAGAGAAATATTCCAGCAACATAATGAAATTCATCGCCAACATCACACTTCATCATTCTTCAGGTTTGAGTTTAATGTGCCACCTACCCGTACTTCTGTGGGTAAACGATGGCAGGAAGTTCTAAACAAGAGAAACTTAAGAGCCAAGGAGAAAGGGATATATAAATATTTGTCAAGGACAAGTTCAGTTTTGAATACGCGATAAGTGGTATCTACAGACTCGTGCTAGTTATATTCGGACACTTGACGTCATTTCTATAGACTTACATGTTCTTTCAGTGTAGCATAAATAATTTTCATGAAGTGAGTTTAGGATGGATCTTTGTAAAATTTGACAGGCATATGTGAAATCATCTCTGCTCTGCGCACAAAATTTCAGTTCAACTTTCCGACCACTACTTAACTAATGACATCACATTTATCAACTTACGTATGGTTCCACAATGCACAAGTCCGCCATGTTAAAGGAGTTCACTGCACTGTACATATGTTGGTTAAATTGTTGCCATTCAATAAATAAGCAACGGAAAATTAAACAGAAAATATTTATGTGATTGTAGGTAAGATGATTCCTCACAAATGTGCAAAATTTGACTTGGATCATAAGAAAATGAAATTCATGAAAATTATTTATGCTACACTAAATTAACATGTAAGTCTATGGAAGTTACTTCAAGTGTCCGAATATAATGCACAGGTCTGAATATAAGAACTTGAAATCTCTACGCGCCATGTTTGAGTTGCTATATCATGTACTAGTAACCTTAAGGGAGCAATCGATTTAATTTCATTGGGAAAGACAGCTTGTTGACTTAGCCAGTAAAAGCTATAGCCAGTTTCATTAAAACAGCTTGTTGACTTAGCCAGTAAAAGCTATAGCCAGTTTCATTAAAACAGCTTCCACAGATTTTATCCATTTTAGATTGTTATTGTTCACACATGCTTCATTATATAACATATGGTATAACGACCGCCTCCGTGGTGTAGTGGTTAGAGCGTCCGCCCGGAGAACGGAAGGTCGCGGGTTCGATCCCCGACCGCGTCATACCAAAAGACGTTAGAATATGGTACTTGTTGGTCCCTGCCTGGCGCTCGGCATTAATGGGTACAACACGGACTGGTCGGCTCGGAGTCAGTATAATGTGTCTGAGTGGGGTATTCATGCTTCACTGCGGCATGGTATCTCAGTGGGCTAGCACTGTAAAAAACCCAGCTTAAGTCTGGGCTAGTACAAGCAGCCGCAGAGACACATACACACGCATGCACGTCGTCATATGAGCGAAATATTCTCAAGCACGACGTAAAAGCCAATTTCACCTGACCTTACATATGGTATAACACTCTTGGCAGCTTTTGTTAGATAGGACAGATAGTTTAGCCCAGAAATATACCATACGATATTTGATCGTTAATTAGGGTTACCCTTTCAAGTTCTCCATGTAAAATGTACAATAGCGTGCTTCTCTTAACGGAAAGTCAGTGTCCGTGGTGTAGCTGTAGAATTGGTGATTTCGCCTATAAACAACATTCACTCACACCCATCATTCACACATTTATTTGGGTAACACGTCGACCTTTGCACTCATATAAAGGTATTTGAATATCACAAACGCTCAGGGCACTGGTAAATGCTTTTGAAGTTACATTAGGGCACTAAAGGCTTGTTCCTATCTCGAACCTGAAACGCAATTCAAAAGGCATATTTGAGTCAAAAACAAATCAGACAAATAGAATTAAAACGCGGTAGGGTAGCCTAATGGTTAAAGCGTTAGCTCGTCACGCCGAAGACCCGACTTCGATTCCCCACATGGGCCAATGTGTGAAGCCCATGTCTGGTGTGATATTGTTGGAATATTGCTAAGAGCAGCGTGAAAATAAACTCCCTCTCTCATTAAAAGTATAAAGACTGTGCAAAAGTAAGGTGAGGTGAGGTGAAATTGGGTTTAACGTGGTGCTTGAGAATATTTCGCCCATATGACGACGTGCATGCGTGTGTATGTGTATGTGCGGCTGCTTGTACTAGCCCAGACTGAAGCTGGTTTTATAGTGCTAGCCCACTGAGACACCATGCCGCAGTGAGGCATGAATACCCCACTCAGACACATTATACTGACTCCGAGCCAACCAGTCCTTGTTGTATCCAGTAATTCCGAGCGCCAGGCAGGGACCAACAAGTACCATATTTTAACGTGTTTTGGTATGACGCGGTCGGGAATCGAACCCGCGACCTTCCGCTCTCCGGGCGAACGCTCTAACCACTACACCACGGAGGCGGTCCTGTGCTAAAGTGACTGAATGGGTACCGTTGTTGCCATGTCATCTTTGGCTATATTGAAGCAATATCGTGTCAGAGACGATTGCAATAAACTTCTCACATTGCACAGGGGCGGTGGGGTAGCCTAATAGTTAAAGCGTCGGCTCGTTACGCTGACGACCCCCCACATGGGCACAATGTGTGAAGCCCAGTTATGGTGTCCCCCGCCGTGATATTGCTGGAATATTGCTAAAAGCGGCGTAAAACCCAACTCACTCACTCACTCACACATTGCACCCATACTGGGATTTGAACCTTGACCTTCGACGTGACGGCTAACGTCATTACCGAGCTACTTCGCCCATTAAGAGTCGATCAGCTTCAAACGATCTTTTAAAGATCACATATACTCTAGGGGGGTACAAATACATAAATCACTAACTGGCATCGCTATAAATGAAACCCCGTCATTAAAACTACTCACTTCGGTCTTTAATTAACTTAAATCGACCTTTTTGACAACAGTGCACAATTCTCACCCGCGAACGAAATTTCAACCAATCAGAGTGGGGCGTCTCTGTGACGTCATATGAGGAATAGCTATGAGGGCCGATGCAGAATTCATCTACATTTCAGGGGGTAAATTATCTTGTTTACTATGGTGGCTGATTAGGGCCATCGCTTTCTCGCCTTAAAATTCGGAGGCGAGAAAGCGAGAAAGCGATATCACGAGACGAGAAAGCGATAACACGAGACGAGAAAGCGATAGCACGAGACGAGAAAGCGATAGCACGAGACGAGAAAGCGATAGCGCGAGACGAGAAAGCGATAACGCGAGACGAGAAAGCGATAACACGAGACGAGAAAGCGATAGCACGAGACGAGAAAGCGATACCATTACGCGAGAAAGCGATAAAGCGAGAAAGCGATAGAGCGAGAAAGCGATAAAGCGAGAAAGCGATAGAGCGAGAAAGCGATAGAGCGATAGCGAGAGAAAGCGATATTACCCACAATTCAGTGCTGTCTGCGCATGATCGACTGCAAACGGGAGCTCAGTCGCCATCGTAATTTCTGGATAGTATTAAATGGTTTTCAGTAATGTTCTTGCCCACGAATGGCGGTGTATGACTAGACTTTTAGAAAATATGTAGACTTTCCTTTGACATGCAATTTGCACGTATGCAATAGTCATATCGTGAAATAACGGAAACGTTCATTTTGTGATGTGACTTAAGGAATTACATATTTTTTGACATAACTGGATTCGAATTGTCTTAACCAACTTAATCACACCAACCAATTGAATTGTTTCTTTGATGGGCATTTTAGATTTTGAGTTGATGAAGAATAATGACAATTATATTGGATATACAACTTCTTTTATTCTGTGGAGGCGACGTTTCGACATAGATTCTAATGTCGTTGTCAAGCAAGTGATACATGAGTAACAAATTGAGAGAATATATACATGAGTTGTTATTACGGTAGATAGGGGATGAGTTGTTTATACATTAAATGAGGTTGATGTACAACGCTTGTAGAAGAGATTGAGTAAGTTGATTGGAAGCCAGAAGGGTGATATACAAGGACTGAATTAGAATTTATAGCAGGCCAGGTGGATGTATATACAAAAGATGGGTTTGATGTACATAGTTGAATTGAAACAGATAATGTACACAAGAAATATTATTGATTACTTTATCAAGTAATAATAGGCATTGGGAATGTACTATCCTTGCTCTCTGTTGAGAGCGGATCATATCTTCTTGATGTGTACTGCTTCCAAAAGTTTCCGAATTTTCTAGTCTGACTGGTTCTTTTTTATGGTTTTCTTTGAATTATGATGTTGTGTGAGAAATGTGTCGGAAGTGCCAGATGAACGGGAGGGACCTATGACAAATAAGGCATTGTGACGAGTATATTTTCATGTCAATTTCCACCATGAGTGGCCAGCACTAAGACAATCAACCACATCCAAACCAGCATCCTAAAATAAAATCACCGAGTGAGTGTGTGAATTGAAATACATGTATATGTCGCCTAAGAGCAATATTCATGTTTTAGGTTCATTGTTGATGGTTTTGTGACGCCATATTGTACGCCATCAGTTCAATTCCAACTTAATGGAATGGTGAGTTACACTTACATTTCAAACAAATTGGAGCTTGCGTTTCTTTTGCAGCTCAGTTTATTACATATACATCACATTCAGAGAGTTTTGAAGTATGTGACACTATAAATGAGCTGTATGTAGACAATTCAAAAATAATTATCAGTTCTCGCTGTTTGGTTATAGGTGGAGAAATTAGAAATGAGGCATGGGAACTTAACCGTTTATGTTTATGTCACTTTATTGTATTTCAGGGTGATCAAAATACAGCTGTAGTTTCTTTGAATTAATAAAAACGATGAAATTTATTAACTGAAGAACTTCACCTACATGAACCCTATTCGCTCCTACCCAAAGATAGAGGAGACGCACGTGACAGTAAAGCACCTTGGTACCTCAATGTAGTAACAGAACCATTCCACAGTCAATGGTGTAATCTAAGCAAATAAAAGGATGCAGTCAAACGTTCGTCTAATCAAAGCTGAAAATAGTACGCAGTTAAACGCTGGTCTAGCCATATATAGTGAACTTCTTTGGATGGCATTTAGAAGTTGGTGTGCTTAACAACGGGGAAAGTTATATGGATATACAACGCCTTTATTATAATGTAAGAGACATTTTGGTCCGCCAATTTCAAACCTGTTCTGCCATCAAAATATCTATCAAAACCCATCTTTTCCGCCATGTTTTCTTCTGACAAAAGTTAGATAATAGACATGTTATACCAACAACTGTTTTTCTACAATATATTATTACCCTCCGCCGCTATTTTGACTGTATGTAATAATTGATGTGTGTGATATGTACTCTTATACCACCATTGGTGGTCTATTGAGAATAAAAGTAAAGTAAAGGCTACAGCTGGACGTGGTCGCATAGGTTTTGAAAAGCTGATTAGTGTATCCAGTTAATCCTTGTAACATTTTCGTTTCCAGAGGAGGACTTGAAACTCGTTCAATATATGGAACTATCTACCTGTATCATCTTGTTTATAACCTGGTCAACTCATGTCAAAACGATTCAAATCAAATAGAGCAATAGGTGGCATTCACTGGGATGCAGACAAATAAACCCTCCTACACATCTACAAAACATTTATCTTGTACACACAGGAGTGAGTCGCTCCCGTCCTTCTCTATCCCCAACGAAACTCCTTACAATATATTAAAAAAGTCACAGGTGCAAAGACTAGTACCTACTACCTATTACTTACTAGAAGAAACCAAATGACTCAATAACTACCAGACTGGGTCAGAAAATAAAATATCAGAATATATATAGAATAAACCCTTTAAAACATCCCTATCCAGCCACACATTACAGTGTAAACTCGATTATCCAGACTAACTCACAATGTCAAGGCCACGCACCACACGTTTCACAACCAAAACATAAACACCGTACCCTCGCTGGTGTCGTACCTGGAAGTAGACATTTGTTATTACAGTAAAAATCCTTTGATGTTCGGCCGAGGTAGATACATGTTGTTTTAAAGGATTAATGAGATGGGTGACACTAAAACTTGAACTGGTGAGTGAACTCGGAGTTCACTAATTAGTGATATGAACTCACTAGTTCTAACTATGAACATAGTTGCTGATATGAACTCACTAGTTAAATGACAAATAACACAATTATGATTATTTGATTGATATCAACTCACAAATTAACTATAGAATTTAGATTGATTGATATAAACTCACACTGGGTATATATCATGGTAATTCCACCAAGAATCTATCACTGTCAAAATGGCAAACCAACAGTTAGACTATAAGTTTCTCTCGACTTCACGTGGTGGACGTTATCTAGTTGTTGAAGGCTTTGTGTTTCGATTGAATCGAAGACGCAACGATGCTTCATGGGCATCTTGGAGATGCCAGGAGAAGACATGTGCTGCGACTGTCTCTACTGTGAACGACATCATCACCAAGCATCCCAGCCCACATAACCATGGACCTGTCCATAATGAGATAAAGGTATGTTGTGCGTAAATGTATCTATAAATTATAATATTAAAATGGTATAAAGCTCTGCTACATTTGTTCATTATTTGCACAATTTTAGACAAATGTGCTCGAAAAGCACTTCATTAGATTTATGCAGCCATAACATTACATTAATTTTGGTTATATCTTATTTACAGGTCAGAGAGACACTGGACAGGATGAAGATGGTGGCCAAGTCATCTCTGGGTCCGATACCGACGCTGTACAACGAGGTTCTGGCCTCAGTGAGCGATGGTCCTTGTTCAGTACGCTGCTGGGAGGAAACCGCCACCAAAAAGGAGGAAGTACATCCATGTCAACTCAAGACTAGAGACTTTGAAGCAAGAACTCCGAGCAAGAACTCCCAGCCCTACTTTTTAACATTTAACCCCAATTCATCTATTTAGTAGACTCCTTATGAGCTTATCAGCAACAGTTTAACTGTTCTGCACAATAAGTCACAATATACTTTACACCACTTATTGAACTTATACGCAATCAACTTCCCACCTTCTTCCGTCCAACTTCTCAGCTCCCCATCTAAACTAACGTATTTTCAATATACAGGTGTTCATCATATAGTGCTTTATTCCCCAAGCAATAATTTTATTACGTTTTGGTTAAACACACCTACCACGTCGGTCGATGAATTGTGGCACTGTCTCAAGTCGATAGTTGGGAGTTCGGGGACAGACAGACATATACGTATGTACACAAGCCATTCTTGTAGAAGTATGAGAGGTTATGGCACATACATTTAGAACAATACCTTTTCCACATAATAGTAGATATATATATGTGTGAAATATGCACACATTAAACGACCAGATGAAAGGCACATGGTGCATAAAATTCCACCACGGATACAATACAGCCCGACGGGGAGTTGGTTTGGTTGGTCTGTTGTTTAACACCGCACTAGGCATTATATTACAGCTATATGGTGGCGATCTGTAAATATTCGAGTATGGACCAGACAATACAGTGATCAACATTATGAGCAAAAAAAACGCCACGGAGTTGGGTTACGATGACATTGTCAACCAACCAAGTCAGCGAGCCTGACCACCCGATTCCGTTAGTCACCTTTTACGACAAGCATGTGTTGCTGAAGACCAATCTAGCCCGGATCTTCAGGGGTAACATGGGGAGTAGGCAAATGTGTAGCTTAGCCCAGTGAAAAACAGAGCTCATAAAACAGGACTCATAAAATACCTAAAGGTATTAAGAGCAGTTATGGGCGTAAACTTCTGTATTTGTATAACACGATGCAACGGAGAATATTCTTATTCTCCATCGAGTGAATGAAAGCTGAAGACGTACAGTGATAAACAAACAGTGATAAGATAACAAGGGAAGCCAGTACTTAATTAGCGCTAAATTGGTAGGGTGGATGGACAAATGGAAGCCAGGGATTGTTAATCCCGGCATGAATAATGAGATAACAAGGGTGGCATTTAACAAGGGAAATGACAATAAAGAAATGCAAGCCAGGAATTAATCCAGACCTCATTTCAACGAAAACACACTCGGTTTCTGGTGTTATTGTTGGATTATTGTTTGGACAAGTCAAAGGATTAATTACAAAAATGCCACAGAATTCGAAAGCATGTTCATTTTGTTTCTATACGATTAAACCAAATGACAATAAAGCCTCCTGTTGGATTAAATCATACGCAGGTTAGACGTCATGTGCAGACAGGGCAGAATTATGTGAAATATCGCTTTCTCGCTTTCTCGCTTTCTCGCTTTCTCGCTTTCTCGCTTTCTCGCTCTATCGCTTTCTCGCTCTATCGCTTTCTCGCTCTATCGCTTTCTCGCTCTATCGCTTTCTCGCTCTATCGCTTTCTCGCTCTATCGCTTTCTCGCTCTATCGCTTTATCGCTTTATCGCTTTCTCGCCTTGGTATATCGCTTTCTCGCTCTATCGCTTTCTCGCCTTGGTATATCGCTTTCTCGCTCTATCGCTTTCTCGCTCTATCGCTTTCTCGCTTTCTTGCTTTATCGCTTTCTCGCTCTATCGCTTTCTCGCTTTATCGCTTTCTCGCTTTATCGCTTTCTCGCGTAATGGTATCGCTTTCTCGTCTCGTGCTATCGCTTTCTCGTCTCGTGTTATCGCTTTCTCGTCTCGCGCTATCGCTTTCTCGTCTCGTGCTATCGCTTTCTCGTCTCGCGTTATCGCTTTCTCGTCTAAGCACATTTTTATTTTGTCAAGGAAACCTGGATAGGCGAACAAGCCTAGTGGCTTATATAGACGCAACTCCATTACATTGTTCCAATAGCTGGATACATGATTGAAATAATTTGACAACAAAAGAAAAATACTGAGACAAAAGAACAGATAAATGATTGAATAATAAATATGTTCGGTATAGTGTTGGATATGCCTAGCAACGAAATGAGCAGCCGCAGAAAATCAAATATATAAAACGTGCCTTACATTGAATATATACGTAGATTTGATAATTACTGTAAGCGGTTACTTTTAGTAATGAACTGTTGTAATGAGTTCAGAATATCACTAATAGTTGAGTTATTCAATGTGCCGTTACCGTATAAAGTAGTTTTCACATCGTATCCTTGAATATAAAATACATCATTGCTCTTAAATTTTGATAGTTCGGACATGATAGTAGATGTATTTATTATCTGCAATCCGATTATCTTATAACAAACTAATTTTCCCTATAAGATTTTAGTTGGTGCCGTTTTCGCCATCAGATTTGTAGCCGTTTTCGCCAAGTCGAGGTTCCGTTATGTCCAAATGGTGCCGTTTTCGCCAGGTGCCATTTTGCTGTGGTTCCGTTTTAGCCTGAACCCCTGGTGAGTGGACGTTAACCACGTGAATGTAGCAAGAAATTTATCGCGCAGTATTGTCACTTCGACACCCACCTCGCTTCCGTGGAAGAAATCGTTATGTTATAAAGTTGTGTCATGCAAAATCATTTTGGTTATGATTCAAATACATATTTAACTACGAGTAGAAAGTTGTTTTGATTTTCTAACTTGATGAAAACAAACCATAATCTCATTAATTCTAACAGACTTTAGCCCGTCGCTTTTACGATTTTCAAACATGGCGGCCCCTGTCGCGAACATACGCTAGTCTGAGGATAAATGCTATTTAGGTTTGTTTTCACCGAGTTACAAAATCAAAACTTCTTTCTACTGGTAGTAAAGTATGTATTTGATTGATGGCCAATAGGGTTTTGCATGACATAGCTTTATAACATATCTCGTGGCAGCGAGCTGGGTGTCAATATAATACTACTGACAATATTATTGTTACTTCGACCACAACCTCACTTCCGAGGAAGAAATCGTTATGTTACAAGTTGTGTCATGGAAAATCTTTATGGTCATCAATCATATACATATTTTACTACAACTAGTAAGTAGTTTTGATTCTTTAACTTCGGTGAAGCGATCTGAACACAAGTTCAGCGCTCGCTTCGCACTCACAAACATACTAGTAACCCATTTTAGCACGAACTGCGGGGTCCTGTGGAAATCTGTGCATGGTGACACCATCGCCCGACCCTAGAGCAATTGACGACAAAGCAACGATTCGGCATGTCGTCCTTGATGTCGAGAAATCATCAAAATGATGAGCGTGCTACACACTTTCTATACAATTAACTGAAAATCGTTCCTCATATGACGTCACTGCAGTGCTCGGGCGAAAGAGTTACGTAACCTGTCTGTGGTTTCGTTGGCGGCCGAGAGTGAAGCAGGCGACTTTTTGGCCACTTTTAATCGCTCGGTATTAATTAACCACAAGTTTTTTAAGAATGAATTTGGTGTTCCGCATAAGTCTAACCACAAATCTTTCATATGTAATAGTTAAAAGAGTACAAAAAAGCAAAGTTTATTTGTTCTTTAAACAATGATTTGAAGCTGTCCGCCCGGGGAAGTTTTGCTTAGTGCTCCGACAGTGAATGCTACTTGCTTGACAACGATACAAGAATCTGTATCGAAACGTCGCATCTACCAAATAAAGAAGTTGTTTATCCATAAAGTTTGTCTGTATAAAACGTCACGACAGGGTTGTCATATTTCCTCCACCAACTGACGGAGCCAAACCACACATTTAGATGTCTCACACTCACAAACATACAACACGTGGCCCGTTAATATTCACAGCCCAACTCCAGAAATAAATATATAATATGTCGTATGGATAACTGCATACTAATCACAAACATCCAGGAGTGACGTAGCACATGGCGTTTGGTTTGTAGCATGTAATATCATCATGGACGTATTAGGTGAGGTGAGGTGAGGTGAATTGGGTTTAACGTCGTGCTTGAGAATATTTCGCTCATATGACGACGTCCATGCGTGTGTATGTGTATGTGCGGCTGCTTGTACTAGCCCAGACTGAAGCTGGTTTTATAATGCTAGCCCACTGAGATACCGTGCCGCAGTGAAGCATGGATACCCCACTCAGACACATTATACTGACTCCGAGCCGACCAGTCCTTGTTGTACCCATTAATGCCGAGCGCCAGGCAGGGACCAACAAGTACCATATTTTAACGTCTTTTGGTATGACGCGGTCGGGGATCGAACCCGCGACCTCCGCTCTAACCACTACACCACGGAGGCGGTCTGGACGTATTAGGTTTGCAAAGATACCCGTGAAGATCGGGTAAGAAATGACCCATGCTTGTCGTAAGGGGCTACTAACAGGATCGGGTGGTCAGGCTCGCTGACTTGGTTGACACATGTCATCGTATCCCAGCGAAGATCAATGCTCATGTTGTTGATCTTTGTCCAGACTCGACTATTTACAGACCGCCACCATTTAGCTGAAATATTCCTGTGTGCGGCGTAAAACAACAAGCAGACAAACGTTCTACAATTTTTACCCGGAATCAACTGTTTCCACGTCCACAGCGTATTCTCTCTGGATATATTATATGGTACTCGTTCTTAGACTTGATCAGTTGTGGCACCACGAAACCCACCACTACAGACAGGAACATTAAACCACCTACAACAGTGGAGCATTTAGAAATAGTTCTCAGGACTTTATTTTATAATATGATAAGGTAGAAACGACCGAAATGATACATATCACTGATATTAGAGAGGTTTGGGGGTTACCATGAATAGCACTCTCCTACCCAGAGTTCCATGCGGCAAGCCAGCATAGTATCTCTGCCACAGGCCAGAAAAATGTGACGATTCGTCACATCTTGCACCGTCCATTCAATATAATTTACATATTTCTCAACTCTTTTATTTTTGACGAGTCTACACAACTAATTAAACATCCCTGATAGAATGGTTTAGTTTCATTGAGAAAATATCCTAAAACATGTAACACTATTTCGATTTGCGTAGCGATCCTTTGTTTACATAAGTTGTATGGCTCCACGTGCTGTCATCGAAGCTGATGGACAGCAAACGATGCAGCCAGTTTGATATCTAAATATGTACTGTCATAGACCTTACTGTCTCAGTTGTGGAAGAATATATATGTAACAATGTAAAACATTATGAAGAGAGCGCCGAAAAGCTTTCGTGAGTCAAGTCTCTTCTTATAATGAATATGCGCGTTTGATTACAAACAAGAGAAAAGTCCGGTCACGTGGTATGCAAATTAGCCTGTGGCAGTGATGTTATGTTAGTCATCGCTGTGCCGGAGTGTGCATGAATAGAGCTCGCTGTTTCCGGCACGCCCAAGGGACGCGACTCTGCACAGCGGATTTAGGTGTTGACATACCCCTGGGACACATTACGAAACACATCTGAAGCATGGTTGCGTAATGATGCGAGTAAAGGCATTAGGTCATTTGTCCGTATCACGAAAGGTATGACAGGTTCAGCTTACCTTGCACTTGAACATCGATACTTCTGTCAAGGGGCGGTGGGGTAGCCTAGTGGTTAAAGTGTGCGCTCGCTCCCTCCCTCCTTCCCTCCCTCCCTCCCTCACTCACCGAAACCCACATACTCACTCACTCACTCACTCACCCACCTACTAACTATACTCATGCCAATAATGGTTGTCACCCCCTTCAATTCTTTTTAATTGGAGGGGTGTGGGGTGGAAGTGTGAGGTGTGTCTGGGGTTGGGGTGGGAGGGGGTGACAACCATTATTGGCATGAGTATATTTATGCTAGGTATGCTTACACTATTCGCAAAACCCCTTTTCATCAATAATTTTCAGTGATCCATTCATATATGTATATTCTGCCTTACGCACCCAATAATGGAAACTGGTTATTCCCAGGCTTTGACATTCTACATTTTTCAATGAGTTAGTGAGTGAGTGAGTGAGTGAGTTCAGTTTTACGCCGCTTTTAGCAATATTCCAGCAATATCACGATAGGGGACACCAGAAATGGGTTTCACACATTGTACCCATGTGCGGAATCGAACCCGGGCCTTCAGCTTCAGCTTTAACTACTCGGCTACCACCACCGACCAACATTTATTTCAGTGATTACGTTACATTGTTCCCTGACCCATGCTTTTCATTCAGGAAAGCGTCTCTCTGACGTTTACACATTTTTCATTTCCAGATTTACTCATATACCAAAGATGGCAGTACACACTACATCTGTGTCGGCTCTGTCTCACCTGCAAGGTACATACTGTAGTCATATGATCCTGTTAAATCCACAAACCATCCTGAAAATGAAAAAAAGTTTGTATAACTGCAGTTTGCTCAAGACAAATTTCAAATCACAAACTTACTTCTGAAGTATTATGTTGTTTGGTTGTTGTCTTAAGTTGGTTGGTTGGTTTGTTGTTTAACGTGAGTAATCGAGTCTGGATCAGACAATCCAATGATCAACATCATGAACATCGTTCTAAACAAATGGGATACGATGACATGTGTCAACCCAGTCAGCGAGCCTGACCACCCGATCCCGTTAGTTGCCTCTTACGACAAGCATAGTTGTGGAGATAAATTCTAACCCGGACCTTCACGGGTTATTGTTTTAAGCCACATTTAGCTATGCCAGCTATATTATGCTATCAATTATGGACTGTGAACGACACAATCCAAAAGACTCACACCGTGAGCATTGATATACGTACATGGGAGACTTGGAAGTCACAAGCAAAATGAGAGACTAGTAAGTCAAAATCAAAAGAATTTTCAAAATATTTACATTGTGTTCATATTACATATTGTGTTAAAGAACTTAATAGCCCCCCCAAAAAACAAACAAACCCAACAACAAACAAAAAAAAAAAAAAACAAACAAAAAAACCAAAACCAACACAAAACAAAAACGAACAGACAGACAAAAAATACAACAAAAAACAAAAAAACAA